AACATAACTGCAGATGATGAGAATGAAGTCCGATTGATACTGAAGTGGAGAGAAAGCAAAGAACTATCGGTTGGGACGATGAGGTCGAGTTGTGGAAGTAATGCCATGTCCCAGTGCACGGAGTGGTTAGCTTCAGAGAGTAGAGCATCACGGCATTCTGGTAAAGGTATCATACAAGATTCGATATGCTCAAAGAGAAAAGGCGCACCCAGGAAACTGCGAAGGAAAAGCGCTTTGGAATCGAGCTCTACTAAGACAAAGGTATGCGTCAAACATTTTGTGTAGTACGAAAGTGCTTTATACTATCAATAATGCCCCCATTTAATTTGTTGTTTTGCAGGCAAATCCGAGTTCGACTAAGGAAAGGAGATTGAAGGCACACTCGGATCAAATGGGAGACGGTGCACCAATAATTCAGTCGCACCATCAAGCTCAGGGCTACATGCCTCCACCGATGTCATATTCACAACTCTTACTGGTAAGTACAATTAAATGTAAAACACTTTCATTAGCACGTGTGCTCTTACATTTTTGTTTGATGTAGGGTGGTGAGAACTATCACGAGCTTACGCAACACATACAATCACCGAATGTCATTCCTCTCGCTTCAGCAAGTGTTACATGGAATAGTCAAGGTACTAACATACTTAAACATGCGTCGTTCAAATTCCTTATTTTCTCTTGTTTGTGTATTAACTTGTACATTTTATACTAGGGAACGCAATGCCGTATTACTATCTGAATGTGCCTGATGAACATGGCGCAAGTTTTTGACATTGGATGAAGAGAATTACTGGATCCGAGAATGTAGCGATGTGATAGGTTATGGGTGGTCGAAATTATTGAGTTGTATGATCTTCAACTTATTGGTGCAATGTTTAAGTGTTTTAAATAAAAAATGCAGTGTTCATGAAATTGATGTGATGCTTTAATCTTATGGAATGCCATGCTTTCATATTCTTGCAACCTTGGTTGTGGAAAAATGCTTGTAATTGGGGTTGAAATTAATAAGCAACAGAAAGTGCACTTATTAATTGAATGTGTTCTGGATTAAATTATTGCATGCATGGATATTTCTGTGAATTTTGGATTAAAATAACTCTTTACACGAGCACTATCCCTCCAATTACAAGCATTGTAGCACTATCCCTCCAATTACAAGCATTTAATAGTTTGCCTTCTTAGCATTAAAAAGTAAAACTTTGCAGTAGCAATAAAACAAGTATGTTGCAAAACACAGTGCAAATTAGACAATTCCATAGAATACAATGACTTGTTCAATTTCAAAAGGTGCAAGTAACAATATATTACGCAACATCCTAACAAAACATAAATCCTAATCAAGTTAGCCTCTTCCCTTTCTTATCCGCTTCTGTATTTCCGTTGCCTTTGCGTATTGTCACATTTACAGAAATTTCAATGTCTTGTTCTTCCACTAGGTGGCAAAGGGATTGGAACGTGTGAGTTATTTGTTGAACTTCTTCAAGTGCTGATAAGTTGTCCGAGTTAATGGTAATAGTACTAGACTCGTCACTTGATTCTCCTACTTCGACCCATTCCTAATAGGTACAGCGAGCACTGCAGCAATTGAACAACCTTCCCTTGTTCTTCGTCTACCTTTCAACCTCAAAGCACTTCACGAAACCATGTCTACACACGGGGCATCACCGTTTGTTAGGGCAATCAGCAAACAAGTGCCCCTCCTCTCTACAACTGTGGCAGATTCTGGAATTCTTTCCTGTCATTCTAACATACGAACAACCAACATATTACCAATCAATGCGTGACATACACAGAACATTGTAAAATTACAAAACTGCAAATGTGTTGGTGTTTATTGATCAATAAAGGTATGTACACAACATAGGTTTCAAATTCAAAATCTTAAAATGACCACCTATACATTACATTTCCAACACTGCTAAATTTGTTCACTTAATGATTTGAGTCCATCATTAAGGTATAATGCAGTATTCTAACGATAATACTCCTTATGTAGCACTAGAATATTCAGTTATTCCAAAACTAAAGCTCATGTAGTGAACACATTCTAATTATACATAAACTACAAGTTAACATCTCATCAGCATAACAAAGAAAATTCATTTCTGAACATAAAAAACCACTAGTGCAAAAATTCATTTGTCTTAATCAATTAAACTAGCCATGTCTACACACGGGGCATCACCGTTTGTTAGGGCAATCAGCAAACAAGTGCCCCTCCTCTCTACAACTGTGGCAGATTCTGGAATTCTTTCCTTTCATTCTAACATATGAACAACCAACATATTACCAATCAATGCGTGACATACACAGAACATTGTAAAATTACAAAACTGCAAATGTGTTGGTGTTTATTGATCAATAAAGGTATGTACACAACATAGGTTTCAAATTCGAAATCTTAAAATGACCACCTATACATTACATTTCCAGCACTGCTAAATTTGTTCACTTAATAATTTGAGTCCATCATTAAGGTATAATGCAGTATTCTAACGATAATACTCCTTATGTAGCACTAGAATATTCAGTTATTCCAAAACTAAAGCTCATGTAGTGAACATATTCTAATTATACATAAACTACAAGTTAACAGCTCATCAGCATAACAAAGAAAATTCATTTCTGAACATAAAAAACCACTAGTGCAAAAATTCATTTGTCTTAATCAATTAAACTAACATACATGTTCTAAGTTGGCCAAATCACCTACTAAGAGAGAACTTTTTTATTGCAAAGCAGACAACATTAGATTTCCTTAACGAAAACATTATACATTCAAAATGTAAGTGCCAATGAGTATGAACACAATCTCTGCAAAAGTACCTGAACTGCTAATCTTCTGGTTGGGTATGAACACAATCTCTGTATATAACACCAGAAGAAATGCACATAAACTTCAAATCTTTACAATTCCAATTTGGGTTGAAGAAAAAATTAAATACACACACACCGAAATTTTTTTTCTTCTTCCAGTTCGGGTGTTAGAACAAATTAAATACACACACACTGATAATTTATCCTTCCTCTAATTCGGGTTGGTCGAAATTTGAAATACATACATATTTATAAATTGTGTCGAAATAGTACCTGAACTGCTAATCTTCTGGTTGGGTATGAACACAATCTCTGTATATAATACCAGAAGAAATGCACATAAACTTCAAATCTTTACAATTCCAATTTGGGTTGAAGAAAAAATTAAATACACACACACCGAAATTTTTTTCTTCTTCCAGTTCGGGTGTAAGAACAAATTAAATACACACACACTGATAATTTATCCTTCCTCTAATTCGGGTTGGTCGAAATTTGAAATACATACATATTTATAAATTGTGTCGAAATGGGTCGCAACTTTTGCCCCTTTTTCAATTCCTTTCAATTTCTCTTCAATTTGCAAGCACAAATCGCTGTAAAATCTTTGAACTATTTTATTATTTGAAAATAGTAAAATCGAGGAAAATGGATGCCAAATATATCATGCTTATATAACGTATGCTGCTAGATTCCGTCGGAGGCGATGGATGGCGTTAGAGACGATCGATTTGCACACGGTGGAGCTCCCGTCTTATGACTAAAAAAAAGGCAACCGTGAGCTTAACCTAGGCTGGAAAACCCAAACATGGAGACGATTGATAAATTAATCGATGGCTTCTTAATCCGGCTGAGATGGAGTGCTGGACTTCGAACCAATTTTCGCCTCCAAGGTTCTCTCTGATTTGGGGATGATGTTGCAAGTGAAAATGATGAATGGGTTTGCTCACTAAGTGGGCCGGTTTAAGAATTTGACCCAGATAAACGGTTTAAATTTAGACCCGACTTCGTTAAAACGCAACACGTCACTGTGTAAACTGGCGTGTAAGGCAGCGAGCACGAGTAGCGCGGTTGTTTTTCAAATTAACGGAGCTCAAATAGGGTCTAAGTGAACCCTAGTTAATACAAATATAAATTTTCTTGTGATTTTCGGAGTGCTAAAAATTTTGCGACTAATGGGAAATGTATTTTGTGCCGTTAAGGAAACATAACCGGTCCCTTTCGTTAATATTTGCTTTGAAAAAATCCTCGAAATCTTTAATTCATGTGTTTTTAAAGCTTTTATATGTGTCCATTGTCAAGATTTGCTCTTTTCGCTTCGGACAGGCTACCGCCGTGCGTCTCCATAGACCACCACCGCCAGCCACCGGTAACTTCCATCACCGGTTTCTCTTTGATCCGTAACTTTTGTTTTTTATTCTGACGATATATACCAAAAAAAATAAAAAAATAAAAAATATATAAATAATCCTATTTTTCCACTCAATCTTAAACCCTAATTCCGAATTCCTTTCTCCCGTCGTCGAATTTAGCGAAAAGTTCCAATTTCTATTTCAACGTTTGATATTTAAGCACTAATTCCGCGCTTGAGAAATTGAAATACGAAAAAAGGGGTTTAAGAAGAGGAATAAAAATGGCGATAGCAGCACCGGAGCAGCTAAATATAAGCGAAGTGCCGGCATGGGGTTCGCGAGGTGTCGATTGCTTCGAGAAATTGGAGCAGATTGGTGAAGGAACTTATGGGTATTCTGTTATTTCCTTTCAATTTGGTTTGAAGATTCTTTTTTTCTCTGCATATGTATATGATTACTTTTTTTAAAATTTATTGTTAATTTTCCCTTATAAATTCGTATAATTTTTGTTTGTAGGCAAGTTTACATGGCTAGAGAAATCAATACAGGGGAAATTGTTGCTTTGAAAAAAATTCGAATGGATAACGAAAGAGAAGGGGTATGATTGTTTATTCGCACAATGTATATATTAGATCATTGGTTGTTATAAGATTGCCTAATATCCATAGAAGGATATGGAATTAAATCAACGATTGTTGAAGCAACTTTCAGATTTCATTACTTGAGTTTGTTCTTGCAGTTCCCTATAACTGCCATACGTGAAATTAAAATCCTAAAGAAGCTTCACCACGAAAATGTAATAAAGTTGAAGGAGATTGTAACATCTCCAGGTAATTTTCGATGGCATATTGACCTCCCCTTTTTTGTTATTTTTGTATTTGTCATTTTATTTTTTAAATGTTATTCTATTGTGAGAGTTTAATCACATCTTTAAATTTGTGATGTTATCTAGGTCCTGATAAGGATGAGCATGGTCTACCAGGTTAGCAACTGATGCAGTTTTCACTTTGCTGGGGAGGACTTTTTTCCTTCTTCTCCCTGGATCATAGTTATTCTCTTGCTGAATGAGCATCGTCACTTATATTCATTAAACCTTCTTGATAAATTCGATAATTAATTCTTTTGGTTGATTTTTGGCATTGTTTTCTCTTTTGGCCTCACAGATGGCAACAAATACAGGGGTGGAATTTACATGGTTTTTGAATACATGGACCATGATTTGACTGGTCTCGCTGATCGTCCTGGAATGAGATTTTCAGTGCCACAAATAAAGGTATGACAGTTAGTGTGAAGATTTAAGATTATTTAATTGATGAATGTCAGATGGTTCTGGTGGAAAAGAAGAGTGACAATCAGATAATTGATTTTCACTTTCTCTCTCTTCTTTTAGTGCTATATGAGACAGCTTTTGACAGGGCTTCACTACTGTCATGTAAATCAAGTACTTCACCGTGATATTAAAGGTTTAATTTCAAAACAAGCATTCGGCTTTAGTTTTTCATCCATTTTATGAGGCTAACATTGAGGTGTACTCCACTTTTGATTGCAGGTTCTAATCTTTTAATAGACAATGAAGGAAACTTGAAGCTTGCAGATTTTGGTCTTGCCAGGTCGTTCTCAAGTGATCACAATGCTAATCTTACAAACCGTGTAATAACTTTATGGTATAGGTAAGCTTCGTAGGAGACCTAATGTTTCATCTTAAATTAGACAACATTAGTATCTAAGCTAATTGGGTCTCTTTGGTTTTAAGATCCAGTATTTATTTAGGATCTAGTTGATAATCATGACTTAAGTTTTGTAGGCCACCGGAGTTGCTCCTTGGTGCCACGAAGTATGGTCCAGCTGTTGACATGTGGTCAGTTGGTTGCATCTTTGCTGAACTTCTACATGGGAAACCAATCTTTCCAGGGAAAGATGAGGTAGCTATATTTACTATTGGTTAAGACTAAACTTTATAATAATTGTCAGAATTGTCTGATTCGTTTTGTTACAATGATCAAGAGATTATATTTTTCTTGTATGCCCTAAATCTAATAGTAGGATGATCCAAAATTTTTGCTAATATTAAAGACTCTTACATCAAGAAGAATTTGATGAAATTAGTAATACATGACCCTATCCTAATTGAACAAGGACTCTTAAGTGTGCAGATGGAACATTGGGTCACTAATAGCCCTGAACATAAAAAATAAACGATAGAATGCATAGATTATAGGAAATTTCTGAAGTGCACCTGTTGAATAAACGATCAGATCTCCTTGATTTGCCAAAAGTGCTATGACAGTATTAATTAAGTTGCGAAATAGTTACTAAACTGGATATGAGGTCATAAAAACAAATCAGCTTATTTAACTGAAAACAATTAAAATAAGAATTAGAGTGGATGGATCCCATTTTTATTTGAATTGAGTAATATAGTAAGAGGCATTGATGGGGATTTTATCAGTTCATGCTGGAGAAGCAATGCCACCTGTTCATCGAGCCGAATTGACTACATTATTTTTCTGTACTTGAAGACCCATGAGAGTGTGCCCTCTGTTTCTAATAGGCCATCATCTAGATCGTAATTGTTCCAACGAGTCTATATGTAGTGTTCCCATGTTTTCATGTTCCAAATAGAGACCATTTTTATTCATATTGAGATATTATCATCAAAGTACCTATAATTGCCATGATATCCTAGAGGCATGTGGCTTTACTAGATTTTCTAGTTCTTTTTTGTTTGTGTCAATCGTATTTTCTTTTCTTCTTTCATGTACCGTGCTGTTGTAGTTATTTTTCTTTTCTTTATTATTATTATTATATATTTTTTTGTTTTTTTTAGCCAGAGCAGTTGAATAAAATTTTTGAGCTCTGTGGGGCTCCAAACGAGGATATTTGGCCTGGGGTCTCAAAGATTCCTTGGTACAACAATTTGAAACCATCAAGGCCAATGAAAAGACGTATTAGAGAGTATTTCCGACAGTAAGTAATCAATGTGTCCTGTCTGTTACGTTGATTAATTTCGTATTTTTCCTAATTTAAATTAATTTGATATATATATATATCTTCTAATTATAGCTTTGACCGGCATGCGTTGGATTTACTTGACAAGATGTTGACTCTTGACCCATCTCAGGTAGCATCTCTGAAGTTTTACCTTTCTCTTGAAATTTGTTTGTAAATATTTACCTCATTATGCAATGCTATCTCAAGATATGGTGCTTGCTATTATTTGCACATTTTCACATGTTTATATAGTAGATGATCGCATATAGATTTGCCCATGATGTTATGCCTTTCATTATTGGCTACTTGATTCTTATGGAACTGTATTGATTATTAAGCTTGTCAAGTTTCACCTCATCTCCTTTTATTTATTTATTTATTATTATTAATTTTTTAAAAGAGAATATCCGTGAAGGATGTTCTTGGTGCCGAGTATTTCTTGGCATCACATATAGAATTTGTTGCTGACATGACATTATAGATTTCCGTAAATTGTCTAATTGATTGTCATGGAAGTTTGTTGCTTTTTAACCCTTTTTAAGGTCTCTTCTTACAACTTTTTTCTTTCCCTAATTCCATTCTGAAGAGAATATCAGCAAAGGATGCTCTTGATGCTGAGTATTTCTGGACAGACCCATTGCCGTGTGATCCCAAGAGGTTCAAATCTCTGAACCCTTTTTGCATCTTTTATTGAAGTGATTATTCTATTTTAGGCAATGAAGAACTTGTTCCTTGTTTAAATTTGTGATGATCATGGCTATACCTGTTTTTCTCCTTCCATTGTAATTTTAACTTCATCTGTATCAAAAATGATTTTCCTGAACAGAACTTTGATTGTATTATCATTAGTGCCTTGCCTTTTTTCACTGAAATTGTGCATCTCAGTTTGCCCAAATACGAATCTTCACATGAGTTCCAGACTAAGAAAAAGCGTCAGCAGCAGCGCCAACATGAAGAAAATGCAAAACGGCAGAAACTACACCAACAACAGCATTCTCGCCTTCCACCAGTTCAGCAATCTGGACATGCGCATGCTCAGATGCGACCAGGTCCAAATGCACCGATGCACGGGTCGCAACCTCAGGTTGTTGGAGGACCAAGCCATCATTATGGAAAGCCCCGGGGACCTTCACAAGGGCCTGGCAGATACCCACCCGGTGGAAACCCCTCTGGAGGATACAACCACCCAAATCGTGGTCAAGGTGGAGGTTATGGTAGTGGCCCATATCCACCTCAAGGGAGGGCGCCTCCATACGGTTCAAGTGGCATCCCAGGTGCTGGTCCTCGAGGAGGTGGAGGTAGTGGGTATGGATCTGGAGGCCCAAATTATCCTCATGGGGGTCAATACGGGGCATCTGGAACTGGACGTGGCTCAAACATGGTGTCTGGGTCCCGGAATCAACAATATAATTGGCAGCAATGACATGCATTGTTAAGAATGGCTTTGTGGTGAGATTCAATAATGATATTCATGAACGCTTTGTCGGCCATAGTGGATTGTTGTACTCACTTCGGAAGGTTGTTGACGAGTGTGGTGTGTGCTCTTGCTCTGTGAGGAAGAGTCTTGGCTGCTGAGTGTCATTTGTAAAACTAATTATATAAAGATATTGTTAGAGTGAACTTGAGGATGCACCGTAGACGTTATTGTAGTGCATTATTAGTTTCAACAAAATATACATAATTGCTTACATGTAAAATCTCTCGGTTTCGTACAAAATAAAGTTCATTTGTTTACATGAAATGTCGCTTCAAGTTGAATAGCAATGTTTTTCACTCTTTCATTCCCATAGCATGATCTAATACTGGTTCATGTATCGTTTTTGTACGGTTAATGGGAGGTGGGTAAATTTGTAACCCGTACAAGGTTAGGCCTGTATGATTCGAATCTCAAATCTGATAACCAATAACAATTTCTTTAGAAGCTCTTAATAGATTGAAAAGCACGAAAATGAAGAATATGGCATTACATAAAAAGACACTGACAAGACAACATTTTCGATTTGTTTAGACCATTATGAGTAAGGAGACCAAAAGAGGAATCTGATTACAATCAGGGCAGGACAATATATGTAATTCAACCGGCCTGCTAAAAATTATTGGACTGATAACGACCTTTTTGATAAGTTTAATACACAGTATTTCTTTATCTTATTCTTGTTCAGTTCATCCAATTACTACTCTATATATAGTATGATGCATGCTGCTACACTCATTATTGGGCAAAATGCAAGCGCATCTCTCTCTCTTTTTAAGTCTCCTTGTACTCTCTAGCCTTAGTAATGCAAACCAGATTACTTATCTTCAGAGACTTTTTATGTCAAGAAAATCACAGAATTATCCAGTTTCGACCACCTGGGCACAATTAGATGAAACAAGAGATTATTCTCCAGTGTACGTTGCACCCCAAGATGGTCTAATGCAAGCAGATAAGATCGAAAAGTTGCCTGGACAACCTAATATGGTGGATTTTGATCAATATGCAGGGTATGTTACAGTTGATCCAACGGCTGACAGAGCGTTGTTTTATTACTTTGTTGAGTCTCCAACGAATTCCTCGACCAAACCTTTGGTTCTATGGTTAAATGGAGGTAAGAAAAATGGCTAAGAAGATGCATTGTATAGTTCCATAATTTCTTAATAACTTCCTTCAAGACAACATTGTATAGTACAATTTCTTCTGTTATCGTGCCAAGTTTTATCCAGTTCGGCATATCAACGTGCCTTTAGTGTTGATATAATCCTGTGTCCATACAAAGAGGCATCCTCCTTCACGTGCTTATGAAGAGAGAAACGGTAGGGGCATTTTTTAAAACACAATACTATGCAGTTTCTTGTTTAATCTCGTTCAGTATTGTCGAGCCAAGCATGCCAAAGATATCTCAAATATTGCTATAATTCTGCTGCTGTAAAGAGATTAAATTAGACATGTTGTATGCGTCATTAACAGGTCCAGGATGTTCCTCCCTTGGATATGGAGCCATGGAAGAATTAGGCCCTTTTAGAGTCGATAGCGATGGAAAAACCCTTATTCGAAATAATTATGCATGGAACAATGGTGAGTACTAGATTGGACTTAACGGTACTTCGAACAAGAGTTTAGCTTATTTTTCTTTTTTAATATTTTTGAGTACTATGGGGTTCGCCCTACCTGACAAACCATCGAATTTCTTTTATGTTCTTGAAAAAAGTTAGTTTCTGAATCTCAAATCCACTTGGATTTCCTGCAGTGGCAAATGTAATTTTCTTGGAGTCACCAGCTGGAGTTGGTTTTTCGTACACGAAAACATCTTCTCCTTATAACTCCACCGGCGATAAAAGTACAGCTAGTGATGCCTACACTTTCCTTATCAACTGGTTCGAGCGGTTTCCTCAATACAAAACCCAGGAATTTTACATCACTGGAGAGAGTTACTCCGGTCATTACGTGCCTCAACTTGCATATACCATACTGCTCAACAACAAGAATTTAAACCATACCGTTATGAATCTGAAAGGCATTGCTGTAAGTTCCATACAACATCTGTAAACAATTTTTGCTCGTTTATTAAGGTGGATTCTACAGCACTCTCGCCGGATTTTCACCTCTTGCATTTTTCAGATGGGAAATGCATGGATTGAAGACCTTACAACAGCACGAGGGATTTACGATTACTTTTGGACACATGCCTTGAATTCAGATGAAACACATAATGGAATCGTGAAATTTTGTGGTTTGTTGAATGGAAATTTATCTGATGAATGCTGGAGCTACGCAGACAAAACCCCTGAAGAATTAGGAAATATTGAGATAAATAACATCTATGCTCCAATTTGCCTAAACAAGTCTCTCAGAAACAGCTCCGGTGGTTATGTAAGCGATTTTGTGATTTTGTTGCCCGCTTTACTGAGTCGATTTTGATGATAACATTTTCACTGATTTAATCAGGTTAACTATTTTGATCCATGCTCGGATACATACGTGGAGTACTACTTGAATAATCCAGACGTGCAAAGCGCGCTCCACACCAAGTCCACAAATTGGACTGCGTGCAGGTAAAAATGAACAGATTGGGTAACTTTAAATGATATTCACAAAACAGACTCTTTTGGGTAAAGTTGACACAGGTTTATAGTGAATCACTCTCTACGTGAGAATTAAGCCCACTCACTGCTAAACGTTTTCTCTATATTGTATCAAAAGATGTACAAGAGTTGTCGTCTCCCTCTCTCTCTCTGTCTAACGGCCAAAATATGGCCTCCTAATAAATCCTTTAGAATAGTAGGTCGATCAGCAATAAATAGGATACGTATAACTAGTATAATTTGGCTCCATACAGTCCAACATAGACGTCTTTATTAATGTGACTTCTTATGTTGTTACTATAGACTTTATAACTGGACAGACAGTCCGGACACCGTTTTGCCAGTAATTAAGGATCTGATTGGTGAGGACCTGAGAATCTGGATATACAGGCAAGTTCTATTCTTACATTAAGACATTTTTCGAATTGAATTTTTCCTATTACAACTACATTGTTATTGTCGAACTGAAAGACAATTTCTTTTTCAGCGGCGACATAGATGCAAATGTCCCGGTTACATCATCAAGATACTCGATAAGCAGCCTTAAGCTTCCAATCCAGACTGCTTGGCATCCATGGTACCTTGACAACGAGGTGAGAATATGCATAACCGACCTTGTCTGGACTTAGGTAGATATAGCGATGGACCAGTCAAAATAGCATTAAAAGATTCACTTAGTCAGCTCCAGATTTATCGAGAGTGATGCTCAATATGTTGGTGGTGTCCCGTAATGGGAAGACTGTCAACATAAGTATATAACATGATTAGGTCCTACAAAGTCCAACGCAACATTGACTCCCTAGTCAAGTCATGCAACTTAAGCATACCAAGTTTTCACAAGTGGTCAAATGGTTGATCTGTCAAATTAGTTTCGGGTAAGCTTTATGGCATTCATGTGGCTGTAAGTTCAAATACTCACATATGTGTTTAATGGCAGGTAGGAGGATATGTGGTGGAATACAAAGGATTAACATTTGTAACAGTGAGAGAAGCTGGCCATTTGGTTCCGAGTTACCAGCCACAAAGGGCACTAACCATGATTTCGGCATTCCTTCAAGGGATTGTACTACCTTCTGCCTAGTATCTACTCCAGAGCAGGAAATTCTCTCGAAGACACTGATGCTTAACTACGGTAAAATTTGTCAAGAGAGTTAGACTAGGTAATCTTTAGGAGGGTATTGCTTGTTTAAATGACTGACGTTGACCGAAGAATATCATATTCATCTTCAAAAATTTCATCATTCATAGCACGCGCAAGTTCGAGCATGGGCATGCACACATACACATGTAAAAGCAACTTGTATAATAGATGGAAAACTACCAGCAACAAGGTTTACCATCAAATATGGTTCGGTAATCAAACACATGAACAAAACCTGCATGTACCTCTGGTGAGACACACACAAATTACAGCATGTAGTTTACAACGTTAAAACCAACACAACAAAACGTCATAGAACTCTTCCTAGTTTACGAAACCAATTATGATGTTCCCTACAGTTCTTTTCAGAACTGTGACAACTTTGTTCACAGCATAAGTAAACATGGAAATTACAAAAGTCGTTCAAGACAACGAAATTCAAGATTTCATTGGTTTCATGACATTGGCTAGGCAGTAGACACTGCATTGCATGCATGAGAATCATGCTCGCGCCCTTGACCTGATGAACTAGCTGAAGTGTCGATTTGCTTGCAATCTTTGCCCAAATCATCGCCAAGAAATGGTCCGAATGCGTCTTTCAGCAAAGAATAGTCCTTGGTCGGGTCTTTGTAAAGACCTGAACAGCTTGAGGCAAGCAAGAAATCTGGCCGGGAGAAGATAATCTGTTTCTCTGTGCCAGCTTCTGCTTCTTTAACTTTAAATCCTTCAAATAATGCAGGAATCACGTAAGTACAATCTGAAAAAGAAAAGGAAAACCTAACACAATGGGGTTATGTACGAAGTATACAATTCTGATATACCAAAGACATAATTATTCAGACCTGGCATGGTCTCTGCTGATGGTGGTTCGTCCACTGAATTCCCACTCATATGGGTGTACTCACTGAACACCGATGATGATGAATGACCAAAAGGAGAGATTGGGTCTCCATACACTTCCCATTCCATCTCATGGAGTTCATGAGATGAAGTATCCAGTACATCAACAGGCATAGTGGAAGCAGGTGAAGTTAGCTGGCAAGAATTCTTCGAGTTTTTCTTCATTTGGGATTCATACAGCACAGCATCCAAAAGTCCACTGTTTCGGGGTGAAAGACTACATGATTGAGTAAGCTCGGTTGGAGGGGATTGGATTAAAGTATCAACAGACTCGAGAGAAGGCAGTGGGGAATATGGTGACCCCCAACTACCCATTTGAGTTTGGAGTGAAGGGAGCTCCAGCTTCATTGCCCAATCAGGCTCTGAAGAAGAAGGATTGCCATTCATAATGGCATGGCTGCCAGGAATTAAGCTTGAGGATAATGCATGGTTGGAAGATGAATCATGATCATATGCAGACGAAAACCCAAACGATTGAACAATCCTCATAGAACCATCGTTCGGATATTGACTGCTACCTTGGAGTACACCACCAATAGGTGCATTTACACCGTAGAACATAGATTCTGGTCCTCGAGGATGCTTAGATGGATGCATTGTACAGAGCAGAGACTTGCTAGGGTAAGAAGAGTCGAGACCTTCTACAAGCAGGCTGCTAGCAGGAATATCAAGTAAGCTACTAGCGGGAATATCAAGAAGAGCAGGTGTATACAACTGCCGATTGAGTTCCATACCATTAAATTGTGGAATCTCAAAGACATTCATCGACAAGAAGTCAGACTGTTGAATGTCTCCGGATGAGAAATTATCCATGTTCTCGTGGTGTTGGTTATCATTTAATGCTTGAGTACAGATATCAGGAGGATAGATTGGTAAGCCAGCGCGCTGTCTTCTTTTGATTCTAGTGTTCCAGTAGTTCTTGATCTCATTATCTGTGCGGCCAGGCAACTAAATAAAAAGATGATAGAAATGAATTAGAACTTGCAAATCCTGCCAGAGTAGTGCAACCAAATAATATACTATTTTTGAAAGTATGTACGCTTTCAGTCATGATCTTTAGGCATCTTTATTGAGATGGATTAGATAGCACCGGACAATATTAAGAAAGAGACTAAAATCTTGTTCACTGTACACTCCAATACTTCATACCAAGAATGTACTTTGTTTATCGCATATTATAAATGGAAAACCTTTATAACATATATACAGGAGATTAACTGAATGCCGAAAAGAGCCTAGCATATACTACACTGGTGATCGACGCTAATCAGTGGGATTTCTTAGACACATTTAGAATTCACTCTTAAGAGAATGATACAGGCATAGATGCACTTGCTCGTGGAGGAGAAAGGGATATGCATGATATTTTCATGTTCCAACTATTATGCTAATGGTATAATCAATGTAAATTAAACATGTAAGAACAAAATTATCACAAAAAAATTTGGTTGATGGGAAAGATAAAATAATATTAACACCTCTCTTGTTATAAAAATATAAACAAAGAGTAAATTTTGAACATATCAGAAGGAAACTTTACATATGTCAATACAACGCTCATGCAAATTTGGCAACAATTTCAGTGGTAGGCTGATCATTTCTTGAAATTCAAAACCAAAAGAAATGGAATTAGTCCACCAATGCACATTTTAACACAATATAGTTGTCAATTATAGATTTTTGTAACCTGAAATACTTACTAATTCAATTCCTTATGTGTGGTAAGTCTATATGATATCATATAGAAATATAAATGGAGTAAGCTGCAAGGACTAACTTGAGAAGTCTTCAAGTAAACTGGTTTTCAAAATATGCCATCATTTTTTTGGAAAGAAAACTCTATTTTCGACTGCTGATGCTGTAACTATATCTTCGTGCATGTTTGGCAAAGCTTAAATTATAATTTAAGCTGGTCAAACATTATTTTTTTATCTACACATTCATATGACCCATAACTTGCTTCCCATTTATTATCCACACAATATGTAGAAGCTACAACTTATAAGTACTTAAAAGCACTACCAAACAAGTATGTAGTTTCATAGTCCTACATATAAGGTTGGCTAAAATTTCATGGAACAAGAAACTGACCAAACCCAAACCAGATCGGCTGGTTCTGGTTCTCGAGGTCACCGTGCTGTCCGTGCACCTAAAGAACTGGACTGGTTACTCAGTTCACATCAAGCCTCAATAAAATGTACCTAGCCAAGTGTTGGATAGCCGTTTTGAAAGTAATAGCCTTATGTTATGGACGCCACTCACAAGTGAGTTCCCCCGAACCCAAACCAGATCGGCTGGTTCTGGTTCTCGAGTTCGCCGTGCACCTAAAGAACTGGACTGGTTACTCAGTTCACATCAAGCCTCAATGAAAGGAACCTATCCTAGTGTGGGATAGCCGTTCTAAAAGTAATATCCTTATGTTATGGCCACCCCTCGCAAGCAAGTTCCCCCAAGCGAGCAGAAGCAGTTTTTGGAGAGTAGTCATCTTTCCTGTTTCTGGCTATTATAATTGTTATATTTTTATAAATTTTTAAAAGAAGGGTAAAATTTTTATTGTGGCTCCATCTAATTGTTGTTCACTTTCCACACCTACGCTAGACCTGTTCGTTAAGGCAAAAATTGCTTTGTGCCGCCAAGGATTAAACAGACCCCATATTTCTCTAGTTCTAGCAAAAACTGCAGCATGTCCACCCTCCCGAGAAATGCCAATGCAACATTGGACATTTGTACAACCTTAGACTAACCCTAGCTACACTCATGCATAACATGGCGAGTGTTTGGTACATGCCACACGAATCTTTTAAAGAATTCAAAGTTCAATGCAATGAGGAAGAGACTATCAGAAAAAGATTATTTACCAACTAAATGAGAAGAAACGTTCAAAGTGTGATACGCACCTCGGCAGCCATTCGAGCCCATTTGTTTCCCATCTTAACATGAAGTTCAATGATACGACGTTCCTCCTCTAGAGTGAATGCACCTTTCTTTAAATCTGGTCTTAGGTGGTTTGCCCACCTCAAGCGACAACTTTTTCCACAACGGGCAAGCCCCGAGCACTTCTGGACTGCATTCCAGTTCCCTTCTCCATGCTTGGTAACATAATCAATTAAAATGGCATCTTCTGTAGAAGTCCAGGGACCTTTTTTTAGTGGACCATTCCCACCCACATTTCCTCCACTATTACCTTCCTCGACGTATGGAGAATCATCTACGCTATTTTTGGAGATCATTTTTTCCTCACTTTTACTTTTCATGCCCTTCAACTATTTTGCCAACGAACCAGGGAAAATGATTTAATAGTTCATACAGATATGCGAATTTTAGAGATACGAAAACAGGACATAACAATTGTGAATTTTCTACAAACAAACCATGTTCCAAGAGATTTTATAAGCTCATTCATCCATCAAGTTATCAATCATAAATGAAAGGAAAAAAATTAGAGTCCAAGAAATGTTTTCTGACTAATTCTTGTGAATCAAACTAATTAAACATGTAGAGGGAGTACTCGAATAGTCAATGGCGAAAGAGAACTTGACAACTGTGAATTCCATTACAAACATATCACATTCCTAGAGAACCTACAAACCCATTCATCCATCACGTAACCAATCACAATAGGGAAATAAAATTAAAGTTCCGTGAAACTTCTGACTAATTCTTATGAGTCAAATTTAATCAACTATATGGACAATGATAGACGTCGGCCCTGTCCATCTAGGGGGATATACGCACCCCCCCCCAGCAAAAAAAAAAGAATTAAAATTTAAGTCAAAGTCAATAATTAATTTAAATCACACATTTTATGGGACCCATAACTTTTCAATCACATATTCCATCAACTTTTATCAAAATCCACTAAAAAATAGATTTTTATAAAAACGAAACATAAGCTTAGTTACTTCAAAGTTACTTATATTAATCAATCAAGATCAAACTTTAATTTCAACCACACATTCGAAACAACTACTCATTACTATCCACTTATTTTGTGGTCTCCACCATGATTCCACCTAAAAATTTACAAATAATCAATCTCGAACATAGGCAAAGTAATGGTTAATGACTTAATGTCAAAACAAAGATACTAGCAGTAACAAATGATATATTCCAAACATGATAATTTGACCGCCAGAGAATTTTGCGTAGCTTTAATGATTTCCGCAATTATCCAGTAGCATTATAAATTAGATGAAATCCTATAAATTAAGGATAATCAATATATGGCAAGCATAACGGTACGACACCAATAATTTTGTGGAAATTCTCAAAGGTAAATAGATAATGGGGCCACAAGCATAATAATTTCACAGACAATGAATTCAAAAGAAAATTTTCCATTATATCTGCATTCTACAACAAAACCCACCCGATAGTAAAAATTTCTAACTCTGTATTATTTAACACTAAAATCACCTTGCCTGTTAAAACCAAAGCCTACTACAATTGGTGAAAACTACGAAATTAGACCATCATTGTGTGCTATAGAACTGATATAATTGGAAATTTTCAAAATAAAACAGGCATTCAAAAATGAAAATAGTGGAAAAAGGAGCATGAATCGAGTAAATCCAGCACAATTCGGTTTCCAAATTCTCAAATTAGTCATGGCAAGATCTAAACATCCGGTACAGTAATAGCCCATCCGGTAATTTTAGGACCTTAAATTAGATAACAACATTTTTTTTTTTTTTTTATATTATAAAAGCTCATTCATGCAAAGGCATTAACAGAACTAGAAGACATATTATTATTATATTATTTATAAAATTATCTAATTTTCTTTTGATACCTGAATGCAGGGAAGACGGTCTAAGAAGCTGCAGTGCAATCCTCGTGAATCAAATGGAGCCCAGATTTTAAGGTAAAAATCCCTTAAGCTCGAAATTCAATGTTTACCTCAAATTATAATTTTAATCGAGAAATAAGCACGATCCAGCTGAATTCTTAAAAGAACACCCAAAAGTAGAACAATGCGGATCAAAAATTGAAGAGGAAAGCAAAAAATCTGCTTTTTTTCTTGAGCTATGATTTAGCGAACCCAGAAAAATAACACCAAGAAAAATCCAGAAACCCTACGTACAAGTGAAGACGAGATGAAATTGGCCCAAGATCCACTTATTCGAGAGAGAGAAATGAGAAAGACGGAGAGAGCGAGACGAAGGGGGCTCAGCTTATAGAAATGAAAATGGAATTCGAAAAAGAAGCATTACATGGCAATATCTGAGTAACAATCGACGAGAGATTTCAGGGTTGACGAACAACAACTCATTTTCGATTTATATGTAAAAACACATAGCTACCCTTCAAAATTTTGGCAAGTATTTGCATGATTACTTTGTTTGTATTATCAAATTATGTGCTAATTCCAAAATCTGACCTCTGGGCATGAGAGAGAAACAGGAAATCATAGTCCTCAAATGTTGATATTTATGGATGAGAGAGAGATGGGAAGGGAATTGGGACTGAGATTTCATTCTATCTTACCATTTTTGTGATGAAGATTAGAATTAAAGAACTACAAGCTTACGACTTTAATGTTACTTTTTATTTAAGATTTGACAATTGTCAACAAAAGGGAAGTAAAGTTGGAACGGGAATGAACTTTGATGACTGAATTAACAAATGGTCACTAAATTTTATAAAAAATTTTCATAAAATTACTGAACTTTAAAAATTATCTAATTTATCATTAAATTTTGTAAAAAAATTTCATGAGCCACTAAATTTTAAAAATTACCAATTTATTACTGAATTGTCACTAATTTTAGTGACTCCCGAGAAACATTTTGTAAAATTCAGTAATTTCGTGAAAATCTTTTGTAAAGTTCAATAATGAATGAGATAATTTTTAAAGTTCAATGATCACCTGAAAACCTTTTGCAAAGTTCATTGATAAATTGGGTGACTTTTAACGTTCAGTGATCCAGTGAAAAATTTTTACAAAGTTTAGTAACCATTTGAGTAATTCACTCAACCTTTGATCCGTCTCATATTTGTTCACATTTCATATTTAGTAGTTGATTTAGAAATTTTGGTTAAAAAATAAAAATAAATAAAATTAAAGTTAAAATTAAAGCCAATAATTTATTTAATTATGTATTTTATGAAATTTATAATTTTTATTAACTTATAGATTCACAATCTTTTAATCACATATTCTAATGAACACACAATTAATTTTTTTTTAAAAAAATTGTCAAATGATCCCTTCGAATATTTTCAAGAGACTCTTTATGTTAGAGAGTCAATACTTTAACATAAGCTCCAAGACACTCATATTTTAACTTTTATAAAATAAATAGAGTGTTTAACTCTCCAACTATTATTAAATAACAATGCTTGCATTTGATAAGTTATAGATTTTAATACCCTACAATTTAAATTACTCAAATTACACTTGAATTTATTGGCCACTAACATATAAAAAATTTTGTTAAATAAGAGATGGGAAGAATTCAATAAATGTTAATTGAAAAAAAATAAAAATAAAAATAGTCAAAATAGAAAACTTGTTGGAGTGCATTAAAAAAAACATATTCTATAAATTTAAAAATACTCTCTATTATGCATAAAATGCTCTTTATAAATTGAGAATTTCTTGGAGATGCTGTTAGTATCATTTAAGATTCATTGTGCTATAAATGAATTTGTTTGTAAAGATGGCGTCGTGTTTGAAGAGGCTCATCCACATGAACATATTATTTCGATTTAAAAAAATTGGCTAATAAACCGTTAGGTCAACTTGTGATATAACTCGATTGGTTTATATGACCCCTACACGACAAGCAAAATTGTGAACCATAGGCGTGTGTTTAGGTGGCTTCCTACATAACTCAACTCGCTTACTTTATGTTAAATATGAAGATTACATACCCATAGAGAAAATAGATATCAAACAAATTAATATGTCTTGGGATGACAAGGAAGTACTAATTAATACAATAATTGATTACTTAAGATTTTAATAATCTATAAATTATTGGAGATATTACAACTCCTATTAATTAATTTGTTCATGTAGAGTAAATTATGCAAACTATTCGAATTAATGAAATACGAAATAATTACAATTTTTATCAAATTCAAATTAAATAAAAAAAAATCATAGTCCATGTTTGGTGTAGACTGAAATAATTTTTTTATTAAATTTTGATAAAAGTTGATAAAAATGTGTGGTTGAAATTATTTGAATTTCATGAAATTTTTGGTTAAAATTAATTGTTGACATTTTGACTTCAACTTTTAATCCCCACCAAACAGGTGTTTTAAATAGTCCAACATGTGGTGGAAACTTTATTATCTAGAGCTTCTAAAAGTTTTTTTAAAAATAAAATTACATATTTGTTTATATATATAAAACATTATGTACGTATAAACAATATGGAGTAAATGTGTATATTATTTCTTATAATTTAATGACATTACATAGTTTATGCAATCGTTTTAGTTGTATATGGACTAACCCTGGACTAATTATTGTTGATTTAAATAAGCTCTTGCATGTCAATCATTTTATATTGGATTATAAGATGAAGAAAAATGTGGATTCAATAAATTTTAGGGAGAAAGAAGGAAGAACTAGAGAGAGAAGCGTGCGTACAGGGAAGTTGAAGGAGATGTATATATTAGGAATTTTGTATGGTACATATTGAGTCCAACAAAGAGGTGTAGATGATTGAAACGGTTGGATTTCCTAAGAAGGAAATAATGGGTCAGAATTCTCTCCCGCTTTCTACAAGCATTTAGTTTTCGATTCTTATTGGAAGGATTGGACCGTTGATCATGGAAACTAAAGGGTAGGATTTGTATTTTAGACTATTATACAAAGGATATCGTTGACCTCAAAATTTGGTAGATCAAGTTATAAACAGAATTTTCGCCACCTTCCCATCCATCTAGGCATTTTTTACGTTGAAACACACCGTTAGGGTAAAAAGTCACATTTCCCAAAAAAATAAAAAGATGTTATACAATCTTTAGCACTTCAACGATCAAATTAATTGTCAAATTAGGATATAATAAGTGCAAGAGAGACGGATGAGTGGCAATTTGACTAGGGTTTAGAGTACATCCTTGATTGTAAATATGGACTAATCTATTGAGGGTGGAAATAAGCCAAGATGGATTAGTTATACAAGCCCAAGTTTCGGTTGGACTTTGAATATAAGTTGTCAAGTAGGTGAATGCTTACAAATTCCCTCCAAAATATGAGTCAGTCGTGAACAGATGAATAATTGCCAACAGTCTTCTAGATATAAGGACATACATATATACAGCCTCTAAAATATGAGACATTCTCAATAAACGAGGACTTACGAATTATCTCTAAATCCCAAATTGTGGATTGCTTCGAAAATATACGAGACCCTGAATTTCCTTTAAGAGACGAGATTTTATAGTTAGCCTTAGAAGATGTAATGTTGAGGACTTACGAACCAAGCTCAAAGAGATGAGGCTTTGCAGCTAGTCTCAAAAGATAGTTATCACACTATTATTTGCCAAAATTTCAATGGCATCTTCTCTGTAATATGAACAAAACCAACTTGAAATATAATAACTTTACTATACATATACAGAATAAATTGAGGCCCAGTTATCCCCTCAAAATACTCATTCATGACTATAAAGTGAAATAATGATAAATCAAACTTCTTCAAAATATAATATGCAATGAGCCCATCTGGTTATATAGACCATGTTTTATTGTGGATAATATGCTTGGGTAATTCAAAGTAAAAGTATTATTGGTGTGAATCAAGTAACATGCTATTCATGATAAAATGATAATGTAAATAATGTGGCATGTGTACTAGCTAACTAGACATCAATGATGTCAATTGATTGGACCGATCAAATCAAGCTAACTCTTCTTAGGCTTTGGCTTCGGCTTCGGCTCTGGCTCTGGCTCCGGCTCCAGCTCGTTTCACTTATCCCTGTTGACCCATTTCTCTCCATATGTATGTATATGTGAGTTCATTTCGCACCAAATGTATGTAATGTAAATCGTATCCAAATCTCCACTCACCTGTCTCTCTTGCACTTATTCTATCTCGATAATTGACTTGACCATCGAAGTACAGACGATCACCGGACCTTTTTTTCTGAAAAGGTGACCTTTACACCCTAACAGTATGTTCTAATGTGCAGATGATGTCTAGGTGGATGAAAAGTTAGTCGAGTTTTCAACTAGACAAATTTTGAGGTCAACAAATATTATTCAAAATTTGCTAAAAGGCCCTTGTAGTTTATGTGATTACAATAATTTTCCACTTTGAGGTTTTGATTCTCAATAGAGTCTTCGTACATTGCAAAGCTAACACTTAAACTATACAAACACATGTCACATTTTACCATAGGACGAGTCCCGATTGATGTCAATTAGAACTTTATTTGAGTTGACGTAGGAATTGGCTAGGCTGAATAAAATTATAAAATCCACTTCGGATAGCTATTCCCCTCTCGCTAGTTTGAGCTCATTGTTTAAAGGTTTTTTGGTTTGATAGTTACATTTTGTAGTTCGCATTGAGCATTGAGTAATTCGAAACAGTACTAAGAACCAACCTAGCATCTATGAATCATACCCCAAAAATAAGCCAACAGGAGATATTAAGCCCAGTTTGTTTTCCATTTTTGGAAGAATGAGAATGAAAAAGATAGTCATTAAGAAATAAAAATTCAAATTTGATGACTTAATATGATGTATAACGGTTATATTTTTCATTTTAATGAGAAGAGAATGGAAAACAAATGGGGGTTAAATCTAAAAATTT